CTGGCAAACACTCTGGCGCTGGGGTGTAGCTCTCCGCCTCCTTAAGTACTGGTCTCCTGATGAGCAAACGAGCTGCAGGTGGTGCAGTCAGCTCCGGCTCCAGGAGACCTAGAACGCCCTCTGGTGGAGAAAAGTGGACAGACCTCCAGATCCCAACATGTTGGACAAGTTATACTTTGGATACGTTGTTTTCACCTTTTATGTGAATAAAGTTTACATCAGCACCATATTGATCTCAGCGGCTTCCTTTTTTTAAGGAGCTTGTCAGAAAAGGAACGGCTTGACCCTTAGCCTCTAACCATGATTTACACTACTATACAAAATAATAACGTCAACACACATTTACAAATGTTAATCATGAACAAATTATTAACATTAATTTATATGAAATAGGACATAAAACAAGAGAAGAATTAAAGTAAGAAAACCTGATTTTGTTTTTAGCCACATACAAAAATAGATGTGATTTCTCTGCAAATCCCAAATATACAGCTGATTAGACAGGATATGCATTAAAGTTGGGGCAGTGGATAGCACAGCTGCCTTGCAGCAAAAAGGTTCTGGGTTTGATTCCCAGCACGGAGAATTTGCATGTTCTCCCCGAGCATGCGTGGGTTCTCTCCGGGTACTCCGGCTTCCTCCCACAATCCAAAAACATGAATGTTAGGTTAACTGGCTTCTCTAAATCCTCCTTAGGTATGAATGGTTGTTTCTGTGATGGACTGGTGACCTTTCTACGGTGGACCCCGCCTCTCACCGTAGACTGCTGGAGATGGACACTAGCTCCCTCACACCCCCGCCTGGGATAAGCATGATGGAAAATGGATGGATGGATGTATTGAAGTCTGTATGTATAGTTCTGTATGTTAGTACACTTCAACTATGAGACGAAATGAGTTAAAAAACTAGGTTGAGTTTGGAGTGTGAGTGTTTGAGGCTGTGACAGGTAGTTGTTTCACAAAACTTTTCCTTTACAACACGAGCTGCTCCACTCCTCTACAGGCTGGTGCAGAGGGTGGAAGGTGTTGTCCATGATAGATGGAAGCTTGGACAGCACCTTACTCTCAGCCACTTCCTCCTCCAGCCTTTCTCACCTTGTCTCTTTCTGTCCTGCTCTGCGCTGCTAGGGGCCCAGCAGACAACAGTGCAGGGATGTCAAACTGGTTCCAGAAAGGGCCGTGTGGATGCAGGTTTTCGTTCCAACCAAGCAATAGCAACCAGACTCCAGTCATCTTATCAAGTAAGTCCAGTCTTAACATGATGACTTGATGAGATGACTGGAGTCTGGTGCGCTATTGCTTGGTTGGAACGCAAACCTGCAGCCACATGGCTGTTTCTGGAACCAGTTTGACATCCCTGGTGTAGAGGATGGCTGATGCCACTGCAGAATCATGAAAGGTTTGAAGCAGGGGCCTGCTCACTCCAAAGAACCCCAGCCTCCTCAGGAGGCGGAGGCAGCTCTGGCCCTTCTTGTACAGGGCATCAGTGTTATGAGTCCAGTCCAGGTTACTACTGCATTAGACAGCAAAGCCAAATTAGAAAAAAAAAAAAAAA